GGAATTTGGAAGAAAATTGGAAGGAAGGGAGGGAGGGAGGGAGGAAGGAAATTACACATGAGCCTACAAGCAAGTGAGAGAGTGAGCCAGCAAGCTACATTCCTCCATGGGTACTGCTTCAAGTTCCTGCCCTGATTTTCGTCAATGATAGATTGTGAGGGCTTGACAATATGAGGGAAATAAACCCCTTTCTCTTCAAGTTGCTTTTTATTAGAGTGTCTTACTCAGCAAGAAAATGAAACTAGAACAAATGATGATTTTGGAAGTAAGTTCTTTCCCATTTCTGATAACAAAACGAAGTTTGGGATGGACAGGAGGCAAATAAAACCCCAGATGCGATAGGTAAATAAAACCCAGAACCACATGCAGAAGAAAAGGGGGACTGTGTCAATTATAGCACTACAACAATAGGGGAAACTTGGATTTTCAGTAGTCACAACAAAGAGAAGAGTGACTGATTTGGAAAGTAAACCTCTGTAGACAATCTGCAAGAGAAGGGATCAGTCAATGAAGCATAGGAGATACGGTGTTAATTTCTGGCAATATAATTGTGGAAGGCAGAAGAGAAAATGAAAGTAAGAGAAAGTAGATGGGCGTAAGTCACATCAAGTGAGAAGAAGAAATTCCCTGGAGACCCAAATGGAAAGGAAGGAAACTAACCCAGAAAGCAGGCTCTGGGCAGAAGTCAGAAAAGAACACACTCACCTCTCAGAGCTGGGGAAAAAAGGAGAACCCAACATTTAAGGTGACAGTGACCACCTAATCTGAGTTCATGATCTCATTCCAAGTCAATGGCATCAGTTTAACGACTTTTAAAAGTTTCTATGCACAATAGCACACCACTGTCAAGCCCCCAAGGAATGACCAGTTTACCTCCATATCTCCCATCTTCCTGGTTCTCACTTACCTGGACAGCACTGAGTGGACATTTTGGCATTTATTATCCATGGTTCTTCTCCTTGCTCCAACTTGAAGATTAAATCAGGTTTGGTACCATGATAACCTGTTAATGGAAGATCACACAGGATGTGGACACAATTGCTAGCTCATAAGCTACAAAACAATTGCTCATTTGCACTTGGGGAAAGATTACAATTAGGAGAGGAGAACCAAATATGTGCCAAGAATATTGACCTCTAAAGTTCAAGTCCATAATCATTGATCACTTTAGAGGTCTCAAAATAGGGCAACAAAAGAGATGGCAATTTATGACTCTGTGCTGGATAGCTTTAGTGTCAACTTGACACACCTGGGTTGAGGGAGCCTCAACTGGGGAATTGCCTCTATTGGACTGGCCTGTGGCCATGTCTGAGGGGCATCTTCTTGATGAGTGATGTGGGAGGGCCCAGCCCACTGTGGGTGGTGCCACCCCTGGGCAGGTGGGCCTGTGTTGTATAAAAAAGCAGGCTGAGCAGGGGCCAAGGGAGCAAGCCAGTAAGCAGCGTTCCTCCATGGCCTGTGCTCCAGCTCCTGCCTCCAGGTTCTTAGCCCTGAGTTCCTACCTTGGGCTCCCTGATGAACTGTGACCCGGGAGATGTGAGATAAATAAACCCTTTCCTCCCCAAGTTGGTAGTGGTCAGAGTATTTTGTCCCAGCAATGAAGAACAAACTAAGACAGACTCCCAACTGAATTAAAAAGAGATGATGGGCTCACCCACTGACAACAAGTTGCTATAGTTTTCCAGCGTCACTTCTCTGTACAGGTGCCGTTGTGCAGAGTCCAGCAGCTGCCATTCTTCCCAGGATAACTCCACAGATACATCCTTGAATGACAATAATCCCTGTAATAATACATACCCTGTTCAACTGCAAGTATTCATGGTAGGGTGACATGTGAAGAATGGAGAAAAACCAAAAAAGTAAAAACATTCTCCAGATGGCCTCCTATACCTAGTTCATCATTTACTTTGTAAGAGAATTAGTAACTGGGACTGGGGTTGGCTTAGAGGTTAAGAGTGCTAGCTGCTTAACCATGAAGACTGAAGTTTGGATCCCAGCACCCATACAACAAGCTGGTTGTCCTCAAATGCCTATAACTCCAGCTCTGAGGGATCCAGAGCTGCCCTCCTTGCATGCGTGCACACACACACACACACACACACACACACACACAAATAAATACATAAATAATGAATGAATAAGTAAATAAATAGGGACTGGCAAGATGGCTCAGCCATTAAAGGTGACTGTTGCCATGTCTGCCAACCTGACCTTAATCCCTAAATTCACGTGGTTGGAATCCTGCAAATTGTCTTCTAAACTCCAAATGCAAGCCATGGCATGCATGTACACCCCACACCCCCAATAAATGTAAAAAAATTTTAAGAAAATTAAAAATCAATCAATCACTGAGTCTATGTACCAGATATTCTTTGGAGTAGTGTAGATCATAGGATGAGGAAAATCCAACTCTATGAGAAGTTTTCAGTCTTATAGACGGAAACAAAATACATATGTAAATACACAAAAGCAGACAGAGGGTATGTAGAAAGGAAGAGCAATTCTCAGTAACATCCAGACTAGGCTCTACTGAGAATAATCTAAGCGGAAGAGTCATGAGGTTCCCCAAGGCAAAGAGATGGAAAGGGAATTCAGGATGGGATTAGGATGAGATTCACCTAGGAACAATGGGGGGAAAAGCAACACTGGAAAATAAGAGTTCACTTTGCTGCTTCAGGAGCTTGCAGGCAACTGGGCTAGGGCAGAATATTGCCTTCTATCTTCTGTCCTGCGAGGCTTCCATGCCCTGGATAACCCATGTCTAAGAGGATGCCAGTCATCACATCTACCTTCTAGTGAGGGAAAAGGTGCTGGGAAGGAAAAGAAAGATCTAGAAATGTCTGGTTTTTTATGCCTAGTGAAAAACTGTTGTTTTATTATGAATGAAAGAAAAATTATACTAGGGGATAACCTGTATTTATTGTACAGAGATGCTGTAAGTACCACTCAGAATACAGGGTAGAATCTGGTATATTCAGGGACTGTAACATCTCAGGAAATGAGAGGAAGGCTCTCATGGTGAATAGGAAGAGAAGAGGGGAAGATAGGAGGGGAAAAAAAAGGAATGAAAGATATATCAAGTAAACACTAAGTAAGGAACACTGATGATCACAGAATTTACATGAGATAATTGCATTTTTTTATCAGTTTAACTCAGAGAAACTAAACAAATGGATTTCATGCGCATACCATTCTTCATGAAGATCCCACTAAAATGAGGGGACTCCTCTGTTGTGGCACTGCCACCACCTCCCCATCTGTTCCTCACCAACACCTCTCCATAGAGAATCTGCCAATACTCTGCCATACTAGCTGGCTCTAATGTGTACCACTGTCAACATGACAAAAATCCAAAATCTCCTAGGAGACAAGTCTCTGGGCCTGCCTGTGAAGGATTATCTAAATTAGGTTAATGGGGCAGAAAGAACTGTGGGGCAGACCCATTCTGTGGGCTAGGATCCTGGACTGAACAAAAAGGATAAAGTGAACTGAGCACTAGTATTCATTGCTCTCTAATTTTTGAACACAGACGCAATGTGACCAGCTGCCTCACACTCCTGCTACCATGACTTCCCCACCACAATGGACTATGCCTCACAAAGCTCCTGCTACCATGACTTCCCCACCACGATGGACTATACCTCACAAAGCTCCTGCTATCATGACTTCCCCACCACGATGGACTATGCCTCACAAAGCTCCTGCTACCATGACTTCCCCACCACAATGGACTATACCTCACAAAGCTCCTGCTATCATGACTTCCCCACCACGATGGACTATACCTCACAAAGCTCCTGCTATCATGACTTCCCCACCACAATGGACTATACCTCACAAAGCTCCTGCTACTGTACCTCAAACTACAAGCCAAAATATACCCATCCTTAAGTTGCTTCTGTCAGCTATTTTGTCTCAGCAATGACACAAGTAACTAACACACTGGCTTTCCACATTATATAACTTCACAGGGCTAGGACTATACCTCACAAAGCTCCTGCTATCATGACTTCCCCACCACAATGGACTATACCTCACAAAGCTCCTGCTACTGTACCTCAAACTACAAGCCAAAATATACCCATCCTTAAGTTGCTTCTGTCAGCTATTTTGTCTCAGCAATGACACAAGTAACTAACACACTGGCTTTCCACATTATATAACTTCACAGGGCTAGAGAGATGGCTCAGTGTTGCAAGCGCTTGCTGCTTTCCCGGAGGACAAGTGTTCAGTTCCCAGCACCAACCTCAGGCAGTTCAGAACTGCATATAACTCCAGCTCCAGGGAATCCAACGCCATCTTCTAGCCTCTGTGGCCACACACACACACAATGTAGCATACACAAATACACATACAAACATAAATAAAAATTTTTAGTTTTAAAAAGAAAGTTGTTTTAAAAAGAAATTTCACAAATCAAGCACCTTAAAAATTAATAAGATTTACACCTTTAAACCCATTAGGTAGCTAGGTGCATGCAGGAGCGCTACCCTGCCTCTTTAGCTTCTAGGAAACTGAAACATCCAGGGTAGAGGCAGCATCAAGCCAGAGCAATAAAGGCAATGGGATTATCACAGATCTTATGATTAATACATAAAAGCAGGGTCACTTTAATTCACTACAGCCTAAATAGTAAGTAATCAATCACTTCACCCGGTGCTGAACTACAGAAGCAGCAATCTATCAAATTCTGCAGATAAAAGTGATTATTCAAGCTTGTTAAGACATTATACACCTTAACCATAGGGTACATACAAATACCTAACTATTGATATAATGAAATATTTATTTTTCCCCTTACATTAATTTGATTTACACATTTCTCTTTGAGATTTAACTCTTGAAGACAAACACTATATGACAAAATAAAAGTTGAATTAAACAATGCCTAGTCTGCTTTCTATTGCTGTGATAAACACCATGACCAAAAGCAACCTGGGGAGGAAAGGGTTTATTTCACCTTACAGATTATAATCCATCATGGAGGAAAGCCAAGGCAAGAACTCGGCAAGAACTCAAGGGAGGAGCTTGAAGAAGAAACCAACTGAGAAGCGCTGCTTATTGGCTTGCTCAGCTACCTTTCTTACACAGCCTAGGCCTACCTGCTCAGGGGTGGCACTGCTTACAGTGGCCTGGGTCCTCTTACATTAGTAAGCAATCAAGAAAATGCCCATAGAATACCCACAGGCCAACAGAGGAACTTCCTCAACTGAGGCACTCTCCTCCCAGGTGTATCAATGAGCTGACAACTGAAAATTGACAAAGAAAATACATGACAAGGAAAATTTCCGTATCTAGCAATATGGCAAACTGGAAAATTCTCACCCTGAAAATCACCTGCAAATGATGTATCAAAGGCAGTGAGCAACCTGGCACGGTGGCATATGCCTGTAATTCCAGCACTCAGTAGACTGAGGAAGGAGGAAGGTGAGTTCAAAGCAATCCTGGGCTAATACAAAGTTTGAGGCCAGCCTGAGCTACATGCTGTCTCGGGGGGGGGGGGAGAAAAAGTAACATGCATTTTTCTAGATGCACCTAAAACCTCAATTAGCACTGACTATACTAATTATAAGTACTGAACCAGTGTTCCTGATGGGAAACAAATATACATTTCTCAAATAAATTATCAACTTAAATCCCAGTTGATTTTCTAAGCGTTAAGTGACTTTCCTGAGGCCACTAATGAGTAGTTGTTACACAACCTCTCAATGACACCAATCTGGGAATCAAGCCTTTTTAACACATGGGCATCTAAGAGACATTTAAAATCTGAATTAAGGCAGGTGTGGTGGCCCACACCTTTAATCCCAGCACATGGGAGGCAGAGGCAGGTGGATCTTTGTGAGTTTAAAGCCAGCCTGGTCTACATAGCAAGTTCCAGACTAGCTGGAGCTATAAGGAAACTCTGTCTCAAAAAAAAAAAAGACAAAAGAAAAATCTGAATTAAGACAGAGCGATTTGATGGTGTTGTTCTCTCTGCCACTTCTAAGACTGAGGCAGAAAGATAAGATTACAATTTCAAGACCAGCCTGAGAAAGTGAGACCCTGTCTCAAGGAAGTAAAAGGAGAGCCAGAGATATGTTTCAGTGACAGAGCACTTACCTAGCATGTGTGAGGCCCTAGGTTCAATCCTCAGTATCCAACAAAAAACAAAAAAAATCCAAACTGTAGCAGCTGTCAGTAAATAGTCAGAAGGAGGGAGTATGATTCACATTTGTTAAAATGTCTTTTCGGTACTCAGGACAAACAGCCTGGGTCTGCACCCTAGCTTGGTTATTCTAATCTCCTGGTATTACTCATGGACAGGTTCCCAGATTCCTCATCTTTAAAATACAGTCCTGAGGCTTGAAAATTCCCATATAATATGATGCTTAAATGTGTGCACAGACAATGGCTATTAATATTATTCAATAGTTTTTAAGGATGTGAGGGCAATCTGGCTGCGACATCTGTCACCCCACTCACTGATCACCAGGGTTGATTCGGCTGGCTAGGTGGGTGTTCCCTTCCTCCCTCAACGCTCCACATGCATCCCTCCTGAAGCTGAGCTGTGGACTCAGTCCAAGAGGACAACCGGTCTTCAGTCAAGGGTATACAAGTAGCTGGGCTCCCCTGCTAGAACCTCCAAACAAGCTCTCGACAGTTTTTAAATGTTTCTAATTTTTGGTTCTCAAACTTAATTTTTCTTTCTTTTTTTCTTTCTTTTTTTTTTAAGATGGGGTCTTGTGTATCCCAGGCTGGCCTCAAACTCACTATGTAGCCAAAGATGACCCAGACCTTCTAATCCTTGAACTTCTACCTTCCTAGTGTTAGGATTACAGGCATGGGCCACTGTGCATGGTTTATGCTGAGCTGGAGATTGAAACCAAAGCATTGTGCATGTCAGGCAAGCACTCTACCAAGTAAGCTATATACACAGCCCCTCAATGGTTTTGTGGTTTTATTTTATTTTGGTTTTATTTTGAGACAGGGTCTCCCAGTAGCCCCAGCTGCTCTAATTATGAAGACTGGCTGACCTTGACCTCAGACACCTACATGCCTCTGCCTCTGCCTCTGCCTCTGCCTCTGCCTCCCAAGTGCTAGGACTACAGACATGTGCTACCACACCCAGCTCCTCATTTGTTTTTTTAAAAACTGCTATTGTAAACAGAACCTTCTGTCACTCTATTTTCTATATAGCTGTTAAAAAAAAAAAAAAAAAAGCTCAGGATTTTCCAGTTATCTGTATTGTTCAGGCCACCACTCTGAAATCCCTTCTCCCTGGCACCCTAATTATTCTTTAACTTGACCACCCTTATAAAAAGTCTCAGAAGGCGACCCCTGACCCCCCCTCCCCCCGGTCTTTTTGAGACAGGTTCTCCCTGTAGCCCCAGCTGGCCTGGAACTCACTATGTGGACCGACCAAGCTGGCCTTGAACTCACAGAGATCCGCTTGCCTCTGCCTTGGAGTGCTGGGATTAAAGGAGTGCAACACCACCACACTAGACGGTTGATTACTTTTACCACCTCAGAAGCATTTTTTCACTTTAGAAATTTTTCCTGAGCCCTCCATTCTAAATTCTGCAGATGCCTTTCTGTTTCATGGAGTATTACTTCTCCGTGTCATTTCACATCATGGCCTTTATAAAGTTCTCTCCTCTCCAATTAGAGACAAAAAAGACCTCAACTCCTGACTTCTCTTAGACCTCAGTGATTCATCCTATGTCCGGTCCTGGTCATCATCCTGAGTCAATTCATCCTCGCAGAGTTCTAACCGGTCACACTGAGCTTCTGCAAACACATATTCTGCATGTGTTATCTGTAATCCGTATGTTTCAGACTGCCCGGCAGAGGTAAATATTGACATTTCTGTTCCGGGTACTTCTAATAGTGCCTCTTATCTCGGGCACTGCCATCCTCCACACTGCGCAGGCCTAGCAATCGAATCACTACCCGCCTACACACGCGCGCGGCTCATCTCTGGTCCTCTTTCCCCACACATAACTGCGCCTACGGTCCATTTGATTATCCTTCTCACCAGACCACAACTATTCGAAAATAAAACATAAAATTTATGTTAGCACTAACACCACCAGCCTCGGGGCTCGACGCACAAAAAGACACTAAATGAATACGCATTCTCACAAACAAACGGAAAAGGGGATTAAGTGATTTCTCAATGAGGTCCTAAGGGTCTGCATATAAAGACAAGTGCAGGATGGTTCCCTAACAAGAATTCCCAGGAAGACCTGCAGCGGACAACCGAGCCCATCCGCCTCCATGGTTGAGGAGGAGGCCCGGAGCCCGGAGGGCGACTGCGGGGCATTCGACTAAAGGGGGAACCCACGGCGTCCAGTCAGCTACGCCATAAGCGACCCTACTTACCCAGCACGAAGCCGTCGGGGGCCGTGCGGCCATGGGCTCCAGGGACGGGCTCGTGACTGCAGCCCAGCACGGCGCGGACACGGGAGTCGAGCGGAGAGCTCGGCCTCCCCGAAGTCTCCAGGCGGAGTCGCCGGTCAGCCAGGCTCCGCCCAGCCCGGCCGGCTAAGGGCGGGGGGTGCGGGCCTGGCTCCGCGGCCAGCCTCTGCGCAGACGCAAACGCCTCTGCTCGCAAGGGATGCTTTCTGCTCTGGGGTCCGACCCCGCGGAAGCGGCGTCTCCCGAGCTAGGCGGAGGGAGACGTATGTCCTCTGCCCACTGGTCGTGGCCGCAAGGAAGCCTTACGTCCCAGAATGCCCTGCGAAGAGCTTGGTCCGCGGGCTGTTGGGACCCGGGAGGGTCCTCAGTCGGCACACCCTGTATGTGGGGCCAGGACGCCCCTCTCCTGAGGAGAGGCTGGCCACAGCCATGGGCACAGGTGGGGTAAAAGACAGTTCAGACCAAAAGGAGTAGCATAGAGGACGTGTTGGGATTCACCAGGTAACATACAGCTTTGAGTATCAATGCACCAAATAATAGCAGTGGCCCCTAAATTAAAAAACAGTAAACAAGCAAACAGAAGCACATCAAATTAGAAAGTATGTCATAATGCCAGAGTGTGGAAGAGGAAGTCATTCGCCTCACGGTGAACAGGATGAAGGGAAACAAAAACATCATGATCTTAAGTACCAGCAACGGTAATAAAGGCAAGTTAGTTAGATATAAGGCAGAGTAATGGAAACTCCTGGACTCTGCAGTCTAACTAGGCAGTTTTGGTGGTTCTTTTCTACTATCAACATAAATGGATTAAGCAATGCTTTGGGGGGCCAGGTGTGGTGGCCCATACCTTTAATCTGGGAAGCAGAAGGAGGTGGCTGTTTGTGAGATTGAGACCAGCCTGATCTACTTAGTGAGTTTCAGGCCAGCTGGGGCCACAGATAAACCCTGCCTCAAACAAACAAACTGAAAAACCCAACACTAACAACTAAATGCTTTGGGGAGCAAGGCACAGTGCCACATGTCTGTAATCCTGGCACTGAGGAAGTGGAATCGAGGATGAGTGTTCAAGGTCAGTCTCAACTACAAAGTGAGTTTCAAACCTTCTTGGAGCTGCATGAGATCCTGTCTCCAAAAAATTCAAAATAAGAAATTATTAAGGACAGCTAACAAAATGGCTTAGCAGGTAAAAGCTCATGCAAGTCTGATGACCTGAGTTCAACCCTAGAACCCACCAGAAGGAAACAACTTCTGAAAGTTGTCCTCTGACCTCTACACATATGCTGTGGCATGTTGCATGTGCATGTCCACATTCATACATCATACACAAAAAAATTAAGATTAGGAAATAGAATAGTTCTATCCTCCAGGATAGAACTATTAAGTGCACAGATTCTTGAAATGACTCTAGCAACTTTCCTTTTCCCTCAGTGAGTGGTAGCGGAAGGGGGTGTCACCCAAGTTTTCTAGGGTCCCTTGCCCCTGCCACTATTACACAAACCACATAACATATCTTTATCTGAATTTTTCATAGTTTATATCTTTTGTGGGGGAGGGGAGAAACTTACAAAGAAACGAACAGCTGACACCAGGCACCCAGCTCTGCATAGCTCGGCCTGCTGTTCCAGATCGCTTCCGTGCCTGCACCACTATGTCCAGTTTATCACTAACAGAAGTGTTTACAGAATTTCAACATTGCTTCACACATACATGTCCAGTGCCAGGGAGAGATAAGTTCCTTGCCTATATGTCTCACCTTGATTGATTCATAACACAATGGCATTATTAGAAATTGGTAGGAGGTAGTATTGGGCATTGCAGAACATACTTATAACGTCAGCACTTGGGATGCTGAGGTAGGATGATGATGTATTTGAGGCCAGTCTGAACTAAATTGTCAGGTTTTGTCTCAAAAATAAATAAAAATAAGTAAAAGCCAGATATGGTAGTGTATGCCTGTAATCTCAATACTCAGAAATCTAAGTCGGAGGATCAAGCACTTGAATGCTATGTACAAGTCCTATGCAAGCTAAAACCAGATAAAATTGCAGCATAAACAAGAAGAAGTGGGTAAGAAACCCCAACCCAACCTAAAGAAATTTTGGCAACCAATGAGTTTCTGGGAGCGGGCAGAGACAGTCTCTTTCTAGGATGAGACTCTTGGTAGGTTAACCAGTCTCCAGTGGATGGACACACACTGAAGGAATTTGGGAAAGCAAAAACTCTACAGCCTTATGTTATATATATATATATATATATGATGGAGTATATACATGTATATATAGATATATAGATGATTGATGATTGATGATAGATGATAGGTAGATAGATAGATAGACAGATAGATGATAGATGAGAGAGATAGGATAGATAGATGATAGATAGAGAAAAAGATGGGAACAGGATTTTCATGGAAAGCTTATAAATAAAAATTGTCACTTCTTACAATCCAATTAAATTATTGCAAAGGAGAGAGAGCATTAAATTAGGCAGGAGCAACAAGGAGGTACAGATAGGGGAGACTATCTAAACACCATTAAATTGTATTGTATGAAAATCACAAAAATTTGATAAAAAAAGAAGAGTTCAATGTTAGTCTGGACTATGAAAGCCTGTCCAAATAGATAAACTATAAATAAAAGCAGGAGGTGAAGCTTTTGGAGGAAATAGACCACTGGAAGTATGTCCTTGGCACTTTATCTTGACTCAGCTGTGAGGTGAGCAACCTTGTTCTGCCATGTGTTCCACCATGATATTCTCCCACATCATATACAGGACTAAAGAGGAATCAAGTGACCATAGAATGAAAACTGAAACCATAATCCAAAATCCTTCCTTCTACAATGATGCAAAGTGACTAAAATACATGTTGTGGTAGCACTGTTTTAGAGATATTGTTTTCTATAAACTTTGCTGCTAATTTTATATGTCTATTGCTCCAGCCTGTTGAATGACAGAGTTTTGCTCCTTTTTTGATTTGTTTATTCTTATGTTATGTGTATGAATATTTTGCCTGCACGTAAGTGCACCTGTATTGTGCAGTGCCTGTGGAGACCTGGGGGGGGTGGGGTTGAATCCCTTGGAACTAGAGTCAAGGATGGTTGTTAGCCACCATGTGGGTGCTGAGAACTGAACCCAGGTCCTCTGGAAGAACAGCTATTGCTCTTAACTCCTGAACCATCTGTCCAGCCCCCAAATTTTACTTTTTAATCTGAAATAATGTTTAACTTCCAAGTACTTCTTTTTGATAAAGAGTTGATAAGTTCTTCCCAATCATCTAAAATTTCCTAAGACCATATAATGCAATCTGAAAACTCTTGGAATTTCCAGCCTGATAAGAGTGTCTAGAGGCCTTGCTCTGTGCCAGACAGTCTATACCAATAACAAGACATATAGGTGAGACTTTGACCACCCAGTATCAACTTGCCTTCCAGGGGAGTTGGAAAGTAAGTTCAGCCATGCATATAATCAACCTTCATGACTGAGTCACATGTACAACTCTGGTCACCAATGTTGGGGAAGTTTCTCTTGCTGGCAGTGCTCCATCTTTGTCATCACTCATCATTTTTTGGAGGATTCAATGCTGTCTACCACTCCACTGATGAGAACAATTGTGAGCTTTGCTTGGAACTTTCTTCAACCCTGCCCTTTTGTACCTTTTCCCTTAGCTAGTTTTTGCTACATCTAGTACAGCACGGGTTCAGAGAATCCTCAAAAAGAGATGGTATAACATAAAGGAAACGATACAACATTTAACTAGAATCTCAAGAGTAGGGTACCAGGAGGCCCTCTGCTGAGGGAACAAAGGCCCTGAGTTCTTGTCCCACTGTATATTTATTGCCTTGGCTAACATAAATAAAACAAGTAAAGACCATTCCTCAGTGTAGAGTCTTGTGAAAACTTCTAAAAGACATGTTGGTATGCTATTTTAAAACAGAGAGCATATTTACTAAGAAGGAAACTAGCTAAGCATAACAGAAATTATGGTCTGTGGTTAGAGTGCTCTTTTCTTATCAAGTCTGGGGTTCTCAACACTGGTTTCCTTTATCTGCCTCAACACTCATGTGTGTGCAGCTTTACCCCAGGGAGACATCCTTGTCTGCAGGTGCCATTGCACATAGTCAAACATGTTTCAGATGAGTTCAGGTAAAGCAGTGGTCCCCAACAGGTTTTAATTTGTGTATCTGTTCTACTTCAGTAAACCATAGCCGTGACTATGACAGTTTTTGTGAGTGCTAACAAATTATTGAATCTGAGGGTTCTCATTGGGTCCCTAAAGCCAGCACACTTTCAGAAATGAAAGTAGTCTTCAGGAAACTCAATCTCACAGTTTCCAGAAGTAAGGATGCTCTAGGGGACCACTGAATTTTGGAATCATTACTCGGGTTGTAATAATCTACTTTTAAGCCAAGAATCAACTTTACCCAAGATAAATCAAAAGAACAGTTCCCATCCCCAATCTGAAGATCCTAAAGGACCATAAATAGGGATATTGACCAATTTTCTATTTAAAAGAAATAAAACAAGCAGGTGTGCTGGAACACGTCTGTAGTTCCAACTGTTTAGGAAGCTGAGACCAGTCTGGACAACTTAGCAAGACCTTGTCTTTTTAAAAAATTATTTTATTTATTATTTTTATTTTATGTGTATGAGTGTATTTATTGCCTGCATGTATGTGAGTGCACCCGTGTCATGCAATGCCATGGAGGTCAGAAGAGGGCTTCGGATTCCCCTGGAACAGGAGTTAAGGACAGTTTGAAGCCGCCATGTGGGTGCTGGGAATCAAACCCAGGTCCTCTGCAAGAGCAGTCAGTGCTCTTAACCGCTGAACCATCTCTCCAGCCCCAAGACCTTGTCTTTAAATAAAGAAAATATGGTCTGGGGGTGATACTTTAGTGGCAGAGAACTTGTCTACCATATGTGAGACCCTAGGTTCAAACCCCAGTGCCCCAAGAAAGAATAACAAAATACCTTTGTAATTTAATATGTCATTTGGTAGTTGATTCTATTTAGAAAATAAACTGATTTATCACAATAAATTAGTATCAAAAGAATTTGGTTGAAAAGTGAGTATAATCTTTTGTTTTATTTATTT